ATGGAGAAAGCTGAGGTACTCAAGAGGCCTTTTGCTTCAGTCTTCACTGGCAAGGGTTCCAGCAAACCGTCCAATATGCAGAAGGCAAAAGTGGGGACTGAGAAAGTGAAAAACCATGCACTGCAGGAGAAGATCAGGTTTAAAACCATCTAAGGAACCTGAAAGTGCACAATTCCATGGGACTTGATGAGAGGCATCCATTGGTCCTGAGGGAACTGGCGGATGAAGTGGCTAAGCCACTGTTCCTCATATTTGAGAAACTGTGGTAGTCCAGTGAAGTTCCTGGTGACTGGAGAAGGGGAAATATAACTCCCATTTTTAAAAACGGAAATAAAGAGGACCTGGGGAACTACAGCCCAGTCAGTCCACCTCTGTGCCCAGCAAGCTCATGGAGCAGATCCTCCTCGAAACTATGTGAGGGCACATGCAAAATAAGGAGGTGATTGGTAACAGCCAACATGGTTTCACTAAGGGTGAATCGTGCCTGACACATTTGGTGGCCTTCTATGACAGGGCTACAGTGTTGGTGGATAAAGGAAGAGCAACTGACATCATCTACCTGGACTTCTGCAAAGTATTTAGCACTGTCCCATATGACTTCCTTGCCTCTAAATTGGAGAGACATGGATTTGATAGATGGACCACTCAGTGGATAAGGCACTGGCTGGATGGTCTCATTTAGAGTTGCAGTCAACAGCTCAAAGTCCAAGTGAAGAACAGTGATGAGTTGCATTCCTCAGGGGTAGATGTTGGGGCCAGTGCTGTTTAACATCTTTGTCAGTGACATGGACAGTGGGACTGAGAATATCCTCAGTGAGTTTGCTGATGACACCAAGCTGTGTGGTGCGGTTAACATGCTGGAGGGAAGTGACACCATCCAGAGGGACCTTGACAGGCTTGAGAGGTGGGCCTGTGGAAAACTCATGAAGTTCTACAGGGCCAAATGCAAGGTCCTGCACATGAGTTGGAGCAATCCCAAGCACAAATACAGGCTGGGTGGTGAGTGGATTGAGAGCAGCCCTGCGGAGAAGGACTTGGGGGTATTGGTGGATGGAAAACTGACTATGAGCCAACAATGTGTGCTTGCAGCCCAGAAAGCCAACCATATCCCGAGCTGCATCAGGAGAAGTGTGGCCAGCAGGTTGAGGGAGATGATTCTATCCCTCTACTCCACTCTTGTGAGACTCCACCTGGAGTACCATGTCCAGCTCTGGGGCCCTCAACATAAGAAGGACATGGACCTGCTTGAGCAAGTTCAGAGGAGGCCATGAAGATGATCAGGGGGCTGGAGCACCTCTCTTATGAGGACAGGCTGAGAGAGTTGGGGTTGTTCAGCCTAGAGAAGAGAAGCTTCCAGGGAGACCTTTAAGCAGCCTTCCAGTACTTAAAGGGGGCCTACAGGAAAGATGGGGAGGGACTCTATCAGGGAACATAGTGATAGGAAGAGGAGTAATGGTTTTAAACTGAAAGAGGGCAGATTTAGATTAGATATAATGAAGGAATTCTTTACTGTGAGGGTTGTGAGACACTGGCACAGGTTGCCCAGAGCAGCTGTGGCTGCCCCCTCCCTGGAAGGGTTCAAGGCCAGGTTGGACGGGGCTGGGAGCAACCCCGTCTAGGGGAAGGTGTTCTTGCCCGTGGCAGAGTGGTTGGAACTAGATGGCCTTTAAGCTCCCTTCCAACTAAAACCGTTCTATGACCTGTAGCACATCATCTGCTTAAATTTATTAAACCTTATTTGACTTATGTCAAAGTCAAGAAATTCAGCCTCTACCTTCTCAGTTCTGTCAGCTGGTGTTAATGCACAGTAATGCATTCTTTAGTTACATAAATTACATTTTTTTCACAGCAACATGATCTCACTCTCTAAAGAGTGAATACGTTTTGTTCAAGGAAGAGGTATTCAAAATTTTGATGTTGTGGCTTTTTTAAAGGCTTCAATATGAAGGAGCTTCAGGCTTTGTTTATAGCATTCTGTTTAAACCCAACTCTGAAGATAAGAATTATTTTTTTGCTGTAACTTTTGTTATGGTACTCACCTCTACAATAACAAATGTTCAACAAACATAAAAGTTTAATTTCACAAGGTGTCATTAAATATATTGGAATTTCATAAAATATCATAATTTTCCACTAATGGCAGGTGCCTAAATCTAGGATCATACTTATAAATTGCATATTATGTAACATATGAAAGCTCAACATCATTTCAGATCTGACTTTAGAGCCAAAACAATGAACTTCAAAATATACAGCAACCATACTAATCCCAAATAAATTTTTACTTGAATTATCTATTCTATCTTAACGACAAAGTTTCTGTGATCACAAGGAAAATGTATCTGAACTCAAGTTTGAAGAGAACCCTTCCTGAAAGGCAGGTGGAATGTTCTCTCTGCAGGCAGGTATCTGGTTTCCAAGCAGTTTCTAGCCCAATGCTTTGGTCATCCAGCTGACATGCTAATGGTGAGCTGGCAGCCTGGGACTTTGTTTCAAAGCTCATGAATTTTATAAAAATACAGGCTCCCAGGATATCTTGCTAAACTCCAATTTCCATATGAAGCAGCTTGTATTTCCAAGACTTTCAGTTTGTCATTCTATAGCAGCCAACTGAGAAGATAAGATGGGGTAAACATGGTGCACCAGTTTATGGAAGCTTGAAATTTGGCTGATTCAGAGACAGAGTGCCTACTCTTCCTAGACTCAGTTGTTTCCAAAGCACAGAGTTGCTAAAACTATTCAGACAAAATATACCACCTGTTTTCTTTCAGCAAAGGGAAAACCCCCAGACACTTTTATGGTTTTGTTTTTGTAACGGAATCTTTTGGCTCAAGCAGGTAAATAATGATAATATTAGAAATATTAATGGAGAGCACCAGCAGAAGTTTTGGTGGATGGGAGAGCAAAAAGCTTGGGATGGGCAATCTCCAGATAAGCAGCAAATATATAAGCAAATAAAAATAGGATTCGTTTAAGTATTACATTTAATTAAGTGTCCTGGTTCTATGTCCCATCTGGAGTTTATATGGTACCATTTCATCAACTCTGAAATATTCTGGGTGGGGAAAAAAACCTGCCAACAGCAAATTTTTATCAACTTTCTACTTCTTGATTCATAAGATAAATGCAGAACTCTGAGTTTCATATAGTCTCTTTATCCATTCTTGTATCACTTGCCACTATGTCAAGGGTAAATTCTGAAAGCAATGTTTTTTTCTCATCTTCTGCTTAAAGGAGTGCAGTTGTTTCTGCTGAAATTATCTAGAATACTGCTAAAACCTTCAGGATAAGCATGTTTCAGCCTGACAGTAAATTCCCAGGCAAAATAAGAAACAACTACAGACATCAAGAGAAAGCTATTTATAAATTCAGATAGAAAATCTATGAAAACTAGTGTAGCAATCTTTTATCTGAGGCCATTTGTTCCAACTGCCATCAGTATAATTATCAAATGTGGTACTTCATGCATGTATCAAAATTTAAATAAAAGAGAATAAGTAGCATTCTGAGCAGATAGTTTCTATGTTTTTCTCTGTAGGTGTTCATGATTTTGTATTTCTACCTGTCCATCTAAAGAATAAGCTTAGTGAGAGAATACGCATTTTAAGATGTTTAAGATAATATATTAAAAAAATAAGTTTGACAATTATAGCAGTTAAAAGGCTGTATTTATCCATAAATACTTTTACATTTTAACCTATTTTTATCTCTTTGTATTTTGTCTGCTCAAAATAAATGCATAAAACAGTTCACCAAACCCATTTTGGATTAATAAATAAATGCTACATTATCTAAAGCTAGCAGTATATTTTCTTACAGGTTGCAATAAGAGCTCATATTTCATCTTCAGTGAAAAAACTCAGAATTCCAAAATATAGTCTCAAACACACACACATACCTATGTATACATGCATACATGTGCATTTATATACCCTCAACCATGCAGGTATATATACACATTTATATCTTTCTGTAGATAGGGGCATGAATAACTAGACCAATACATGTAGTAGTTATTTTTAAAAAAATCAAGAAAAACTACATCAATGTATCTTGTGACCTTCTTAGAAACTGAAATGATTGGGAGGCATTCAGATGAGTGATCATTTAAGCAATTAAAAAATTAAGAAAAAAAATAATCTGTGCTCAAAAGATTAATTCAAAACATGTAGTTATGATGGGTTCCATTGTCTTTGAAGAACACAGAGGGGTTCTATTAAGAACTAACACAGTCTGAAATAATGTCCCTTTGTTTCAATTAAAAAATGAACCAAGAGAATGCATCATTGCTTAATTTTCCAGCTTGGAGGCAGAGAAGAAAGTAGCATCAGTAGTGTCTGGGAAGTGCCCAGCACCACTTCTTTTACTGAGGAGCCTGTGCCTCAGTTTAGGAAAGAGAACTAAGTTTGTGTTCAACTAGACTCTTAGCTAAGTCTAGTTAACTGCTAGCCAGAATTTAAAAAGAATCACTTTAACAGTGACGTTAAAACCATGGAAGCTTGAAATACAAATGGGAAAAAAAAAATTTTTTCATTTCAGGACTGGAAAAGTTAGGGGGTAATGTAAAGACAGGGAATTAAATTAAATATGGAAGGTAAATGTGAATTTTGAAATTTATTAGTAATCATATTTTTTCTGCTGATTTTTCAAGAGAGGCTATCTATTTTAAATCAAAGCAAGGGTTAAAGTTGTGAATATTTTAATTGATATGAATTCTGAGTCTGTGTGATTGGAAGAGTCCAAATAAATGAGAATACAAAAATATCAGGTCATGGTAATTAAAGACAGTTTTCTTTTAAAAGGTGCATCTTTAAGTTAAGCTACTTCCTTTTTAGATTAAAAATTAGTGTCTTATTTCACAATGAATTTTGATCTAGAAAGTAGAAACTAATTACATTTAAAATGTTCCACTAAGGCTGCTAATTAACATGTTGAGAGTAGAAGCAACAGAAAAGAGCAAAAGAAAAACTAATATTTGCCATTTTATATTTATTTTACAGGAAATGTGTTTGTTGTAAGCCTGGCAGTTGCAGACTTGGTTGTAGCAATCTACCCGTATCCACTGGTCCTCATATCTGTATTTCACAATGGATGGAATCTGGGATACCTTCATTGCCAGATTAGTGGCTTCCTGATGGGCCTAAGTGTCATTGGATCAATCTTCAATATCACAGGCATCGCTATCAATCGGTACTGCTATATTTGCCACAGTCTCAAATATGACAAGCTGTACAGCGACAAGAATTCATTGTGCTATGTTGTTCTTATCTGGATCCTAACATTTGTTGCTATTGTGCCCAACCTCTTTGTGGGATCGCTACAATATGACCCCCGGATTTACTCGTGTACATTTGCACAATCTGTGAGCTCAGCATATACAATAGCAGTTGTGTTTTTCCATTTCCTGCTGCCCATGGCCATAGTAACTTTCTGTTACTTGAGAATATGGATCCTCGTTATTCAGGTAAGGCGAAGGGTTAAACCAGATAATAACCCCAGGCTGAAACCACATGACTTCAGAAACTTTGTAACCATGTTTGTGGTATTTGTACTGTTTGCAGTCTGCTGGGCTCCTTTGAACTTTATAGGCCTTGCTGTGGCTGTCAACCCAGAAACTATAATCCCTCGGATTCCAGAGTGGTTGTTTGTATCTAGTTATTACATGGCATATTTCAACAGCTGCCTTAATGCTATCATATATGGACTCCTGAACCAGAACTTCAGAAGAGAATACAAGAGAATTATTGTCACATTTTGTACAGCAAAAGTTTTTTACCAGGATAGTTCTAATGATGCGGGAGACAGGATAAAAAGTAAACCTTCTCCACTGATTACAAACAACAATCAAGTGAAGGTGGACTCTGTCTGAAAATGGGAATTTTATTATTGTCACTCAACAGCATCCAATAAAGTATCTCTTTTATTAGACCTACTGTTAAATATCATAGTGAAATATCTCTTCTACACTGAAAGCACTTTGATCAAATTCCTTGGATGGTATTTGGGAACTCAAGTTTTGTACCCTTGACTTACAGATCCTATTATACAATATCTCCTATAATAACACAATGATATCCTTGAATTACAAAATTATGTATGGATACTTTTTTTTTTTTTTTTTTTTTTTTTTTCCCTTAAATGGAAATAAACAACTGGAAAGAGATTGAAACAGAAGTATCCATGCTACCTGGCTCAATAAAAGAATTCACAAAACTACTCCTACCACTTTCTGCCTGCTTCTTCTGACCAGGTTATGGTCCTGATTCTAAAACCTCTGAGAACATGTTTTGAAAGATTAAATCAGATCTTTATAAAATATTTAGGGAATGTGAAGTGACAAATTAAGGTAATTGGACATTCGTTAGTATTTTTGATAAGTACCTGTACCTATATTGCTTTGTTCCTAACATGGACGTGATTATTACTTTTTTGGAGATCAAATCTCACCAGCCCTCCTAGGAATGGCATTCTCAATTGAATTTCTATTCTAAAATAGGTTTTAGGAGGAGAAATATACCTGACATAATCTTCAAAACTACAACGGCAGGAGGATAAACAGTAAGGAAAGAGCCATGATTCATCAGCTCAAGCCATTTGGACATGAAAAAAGGTGTAAGAGGGTTGGGAAGAGAAATATAAACCACCATTCTTTCTAAAGAGATGGTAATTCATGGAATTGGGGAGTGCCCCAGAGGATTTTCTGGGGAAATACCTCCAAGAAACATAATCAAGGAAGGACCATTATTTCTTACTTGTGTATGATACAGAAGTTCTAAACCTCTGTGGGAAGAAGATTAATGCATTTAAGAGAAACAGTGGGTGAGGATGACAGTTTTGTCTGGTTAGAGGAATCTTAACTTCGTGAAACTCTGGGAAATGAGAAATATTTACAGGTTGAGCATTTAACATCTTTCTCAACTTGATCTCCTGAGAAAAGCCTGAGACTATAGGTTATTTTGTAATCTGCCACAGATGAGATTTTCAGAATATTAATTGGGTGTTTACTGCAATGATTTTCATAGTGTAATAACCTAGAACTAATAGACACCTTTAAATAATAGAAAAGAGAAGATGCTGCTTATGACCCTGGTACAGGGAGGAACATGTGACTCTCAGGACAGGACCTGCTACGTGGTCTTTCACAGAAAGCAGGCACCTCTTCAGTGAGGGGAAGCATACTCTGAAGTGAGGAAGAATAGCTAGACAGACCGCCTCCTGCAAGAATGAATCTCTGTTTATAATTAAGTCCTCTGGTGGAGAAAAGCAATTCACAACAATAGGATTCACCTTCAAATTGAACTTAAGAAGAAGGAGCATTTAGTTCTGGAGAGATGTTCCAGCTGTCATACATTTTAATGCTCAAGTGTTCATACCTACATTGATGTTCAAGTACACTTGAGCTTTTCCAAACCAATTCCAACCATTTCAACTGGACTAAAAGTTTAAGAATAGCTATCAGACTTCTGTTAATCTATATAAAAATGTAGACTTTACCTAAACAGTTCATTTAAATTATTTGCTGTACTGAAGGTTTTCTTGAGCTTATATGTCTCAGAAACCAACAGTCACTCTATGTCATATAATTCCTTAAACTGCACACAAATTTAACAGCACTTCATCTTTCTTGGATCATAGTTTAGTGTACCCTTGACCTAATAATGAACTAAAAGGGAACAGATTCGTATTAACTTGAAAACTCCACTGACACTTTGTCAATTGACCACTTTCTTACCTTAAAAATAGGTGCCTCATGTCAAATTGACAGTAGAACTAATGAACAACATTGTAAAACCCTGGAGATGAACTAGCCAGTCAATGCATTGCCAAGGGGCTTGACGCATCTTTGTTTACATTTACCAGTCAGAACGACTGTGTAAATAACCAGTTCTCTTCGATTGTGGTGTCATCATATGATGCAATATGATACAACATGATTAACAGCATAAAGTATATCACAGCTTTCTTCACTGTGATTTCATCCTTGAAGGATGCTTAGCTCTGTAATTTTATTGCTTTGTGTGTAGTGATTTTAGAATAGCAAGGGAGGCATGACCACCATATAAGAAAATAAGTTTTTCATGTAAGAAAAAACACTATTTAAATTCTTACAAAACTTGCCTTACTTAAAGCATATTTTCAATGAAAATAATGTCTTATGATATACCTAATAAAGTAGTATGAAGATAATTTAAGTAGCTTAATCATTAGTAAATTTAGAATTCTCCAAGGTCTTTCACTTTCCATTTTCAACAGAAAATGTACATTTTTACCTTGTCTACATATTTATGAGCCAGTTCAAGACACTGCACCTAATATTGTGAGTTATCTGAGGAATTAAAAGTCTCCTGTAATTCACAAGTGCTAACATATATTTTTGATGATAATGAAAATTGTTTGCTATATGCAATAAAACATATTATACCAAAGGTATATATTTTATTGAATAGACCTGTAATAAAAATGGAGAGCATTTTTCAGATCGGATATTTTGAAATATGTATATTAAATCTAAATCACAAAAATACATATATTGGTGATGTTATGAACTGCTAAATATAGCAATAATTTTAAGAAATTAATCTCTTGTTCTTTTTTGGGGGGGAAAGAATATTAGTCTTCAGAATTTAGTTTAAATTAATATGGATGAAAATTCTGAGCAATATCTGCTGCCCTCTTCAAACTAATTTTGCATTTACTGCCATTCTGAAGTACATTTTAGATAAGGTTTGCAGAAAGTAAAGAATAATGATGTTTAACTCTGCAGTAATTATTTCTTTCTATCAGATTCTATTGCTTCAAAGGAGTCAGATTCATATAAGACAATCAGCAGCCTCATCACTTGCTCATTGACAATGAGCATGACAATATAAGTCAGCACCTCACAAGATCAGATTCTTTATGGTCAACATAAAAATGACTGATGAAAATAATAATGGTTTCCATCCATACTAAGGAGATGGAGTTAGAAACTTACCCAATATTAGTTGCTTCTGCGCAGATGGATGAGCCATGACATGTTTTTTGCATTCAAAGACATTAAATTTTCCCCTGTATGAAAGACCAGCATAACACAAATGCATTATTCAGAGTTCTATCTGGGAGTTTTAGATAGTGTACTAGTCCTATAGCAGTCATCAGCCATGGATAGATTTAATTCTAAAGCATGAGTTTTAGCATCTACCACACCTGTAGGGACCCATCCCTTTCCTACTTCCCATCCACTTCTGGTCTGAGCCCCAGTGAAACCAAATGACGTCTGCAAGGGAGTTGTGAACCCCCTGTATGCAACACACTAAAGACAAAGCTAAATTGACACTGACCTTATCCTAAAAGAATTTCTTTCTTATATCCCAGTCTTGATTATGTTGACAATCTGAATATGATCTTATATCAATACTTCTTGAACCCTTAGAGGTAGGTAGTTTTATTGGTGGTCATCTTTGCAAATATCACATTAACATGCAAGTTTGGCATTATTTCATATTTACCAAGAAAGGGAATATTAATGAATATATTAATATCAATTAACAGGGTATTTATTGTAGTGAAACTGTAACTGTATGCAATAATATAATTTCAGTTGGAATAGCTCACTTAGTAGTGCTTTGCACATTTTCTTCTTCCACTGGGCTAGTGGGAGTGCATAGATATGAAGCAAATATGTGTTATTTCAATAGGCATAATATATAGCAATGATTTTACTATTTTTTTTTCTTATTATTCGTTTTAGAAGGTGTTTGAATCATCCATAATAAACATACTGTTGTAACCAATCTGTATTACAGTGTATAGTGCATCCTTCTATAAACAGTTAATATTACACCTTTTTCTTCTTTTGGAACACTTTCAAAATGGTATCACGTTAAATCTGATTAATCTGATTATTATGACATACTGAAGGGAACTGTTATTTCCCTTAAACTGCACTGAAAAAAAAAAGCATAACAAAGGCTCCTTAAAATATAATACACAAGTACATAGGTATATGTGGTCACCAAATTTGAAATAGAATCTCAGAAATTCTTCTATTTGAACATCTTGTTTACAAACTGCAGTAATACAGATGGACTGTTATTCTTTAATTATTTTCTAATAACAGCACTTTCTATGTAACATTCATACAGTTTACAAATAATTAAGAGCTACAAATGTCTGTCATCTTGTCACTTATGCTTGGGAAATCACACGTGCTAAAGCTGAATTTCTTAGAAGAAAAAATATTCAAGTAGTGGCCTGGCTAATAGCCCATGTACTGTATCTCCAAATTTTGCCTTTGTTAAGTAAGAATTCCATTATATGGTTTTATAAAGTTGCTCATTAAAAATATTATTCCTACCTCAAATATGTGTCTGAGAGATTGCAATGAAAGAGTGGAAAAGACTCACAGTACAAGTCAATACCTTTTAGAATTTTTAATAGAAAAAAAATGTAAATTCAACAAAGAAGAACATGTGTTGATAATGGTCACACAATATTTTCCCAATTCATTACTCAAACCGTCCCTATTACCAGACACTGACCAAAGCATTCATATGTTGAGAAGTGTGTTATCATAAATGTATATGCCAATTATTCCAAAAGTTACAACCAAACAGTATTTGAGACACAATGTCTCATTTTTCAGCTCACATAAACCAGCACAGCTTCACTGATTCATGTCAGTCGAGGATTGTGGCATATTGCATTTCACAAATCTAAAAGTCATTACACTATTTTATACTATTACACAAGCAATATATGTTTTATTTCTAAGGAACTCATCAATTATCAGCTGTCCAGGTTGTGGGAGAATGTGAATTTTCCTGCTAAATATCTGCAAAATTAGCCTCATCCAGTAGAACTCTCTCTGTGATTTGTCATTTTTTTAAACAAATATATAAAGTCAGTAGTCTCTTATTTGGCTTCATTCTTAGCTGTATAAATAGTATCTATTTAGCAGAAAACTGTACCAACATATGAGATTTGGGCAATCCAGAGATGGGAAGTCTATTTACTATTATTCTTTCTGCTTCTATTACATGTGTGCACAAGGGTTTCATTTAATCGCAACAAGAATTTTACTGTGCATGTTTGTTTCCCGATTCTAAAAGTGTTTATACTCCAATACATACTCTTCACTCTTCTTCACTATGTACAAATATTAACTTTTTCATAATGTATATAGAAGCTGGGGCAATACAATCAGATTATCAGGTGTATGGTTCAGATGAAAATATTTTTTCATGCAACTTAAGCCGTGGAATTTTCTGCCACACAGAACTACCTATACAAACCCTAAACAGGTACAGAAAAAACAACTGCATTGATTCACAGCAAGAAGATTCCCTAGGGCTGGCAAGTACAGAAATATAACTTCAGCATTGAGAAATCCCTAACCCAAGGATTATTGGAGTGATAACTGGAAGAAGTATCACTATATTCTTACCCTGTCATTATCCTCTTCCTCAGCATCGATACTGATCAAAGGATCCTGGAGCAGCTGGACCTTTTGTCTGACTAATTGCACATGATCTAGAAATGTAAAACAGAACTACTCCAACACAGTGCACTTTGAAAGACAAAGGGCCTGAACATAATTCATTTGTTTCAAGAAACTGTCAATGTCCTTTTTTTCTCTACTAACCAACAACTGCTAATACAGTAAAAACTGTCTTTGGAAAGTATAGCACAGTCAAATCCTAGGAAAGTAAGGTATGTTAGGAGAGGACAGAGCAGGACAGCCACTCAAATTACAAATTACTAAGCATGCTTAGTAACAACAGAAAAACATATGTGGGCAAGAATGACATCAAAATCATAATTACCTTCTACTAAGAGTAAATTAATAAAACACTTTTTTTTTACTTTTTAATGATACAATATCAGATTCTTAAAAATTAATATGAAAAAACTTCATTGACCTTCATGAGTATTGTTAAAGTTGCATAAAAATATTATGTAAATCTATGTATTATATATGCATACTTTACAACCTTTGAGTCACGTAAAAAGACACGTCCCCTAAATACTATGTTCAAGTACATGTTTACATCCAGCATAAGGAAATATAGCTACTACAGGCATATTAAACCAACTAGATTCTTAGATCCCCGAACTTCTGTTTCAGACTGCCTGAAAGGCTATTATGGCAATAATTTGTTCACTATTTTCTAGTCCTTCCTGATAGTTTAATAATATTCAAAATCTCTCATACCATAAATTCTGCCTAGCTTGAAAGCAGAAATATTAACTGCTTCATACAGATCATCTCTCCCAAACAATTTTGACGTGAACGCAAATTTCCAGAACAACTCCCAGAAATACATCTCCTTCTCAAATGAATCCTTTCTCCTTTCTAATCCTAGGCAACGCACTTTTGTTGCTCAGTTCTGATCATGTTATCAGCTTGGCTGTCCCTATTCCATTTGTCCATACCAGTGAACATATGCCATAATGCTCCTGACTCTGAAATGTCACTGTCCTATTTTGATCTATTATGACCACTTGTGTCTTTTAAGAGTAGTTTGATATCAATTAAAGACTGTTTTACAGACAAAGTAAATACAATAGTTTCAGCACTAGACACCCTCAATAATCTATTATTTAATACAAGCATAACAATTTATAGCATGAATAAAACCCCATGAGGTTCTATTCTTTAAATATGAACCTTACTATAATCTTCAAAATAACTGTATTTCTTTTAAATGCTTGTGAAACCCATTACTGCCTCCATCTTTTTCTCCACATGTCAAGAACCCAGCTTCTGCACTAAGGCAGGAATTAGTCACTAGAGGGGTTGAACTTGAAGTCTTCTATGAGCTGTGACAGAAAGGGAAATCAAATTCAGGATAGGTACCATTAAGTATTGAAGCAGTTGTCAAAATATAAGGGTCTGTTACCTAAGATTTTAAAGCAAGAATTTAGACCTTGTTTCAGGAAAAGCTCAGCAATAAGGAATAGTTAGTAAAAAATCATTCCTGATGTTATAATTAAAAAGCTGATTTTGGGAAAAGGGAGCCCATCTTGTATATGAAACCAAGATTGTATTGCTATTCCAATTAATGTTTTAAAGCCCTCATTAAAATTGCAAGTTATTTTAGTCCACTTACAATTAAACTAACACTCCAATTCCAGATCATCTAATTATTATGGAAAAAACTTATCGATGTTATGATTCAAGCTATTTATATGCCTACATTTTAAGAAGTTTTATACACAATACTTCCTAGCACCTACTCCTTTTTCAGGTTTTTGTGCTCACCCTTCCACAGTTCCTCTGGGTCACTTTTATGCTCTGATCTGTTGAGATAAAAAGGCTATAAAGTTTTTTGCAACCTGTAAAGCCACTGAAACTTCCAAGCCTGAAGGAAAGGACCAGAATGGGTCCAATTTCTGTATGTGTAAATTTCTTTGTAACAGTCTTTTGTTTTAATTCTTAGCAGCACCTCTGATAGGAGTAGTGGAATAGTCACACCCTCGTCCTACAGGGGACAGCATTTTAATGACAATAGTGACAACCCCTAGTGAAAAGTGCTATGTTTATTGG